AAAAAAAAACGATCAATGGTCCGATTTTATTCGATGTGCACCCTCCCTGTAAAAGTTCTGGTTACGGCCCTGTAGGGCTTTCTAGATAGCGTACTCTCCCCTTTTCCATTTGATCCACCGACTGCCACTAAGCCGCTTGTTCCTATCAGCGTGACGGGTCTAGCAAAACAATAAAGGTAAAAAAAATATACATGCTTTTTTCAGTAAATGTTRAAAAGTCTGGCAAAGTCCTAACTTAGCAGCAGTTGTCGGCTTCTGATCTCACCTTAGCAAATTTGTGTGTTTAGAGTGTTTACATTGTTTCATTAATTAACGCCCTTCACATGTGGTGCTAAAAGGCGTACAACATGTGCATTGACTTGGAAGACCTGATCCAACCAGGTGTGGAAATAAACTTATATATTTATACTATACTATACTATATATATATATATAGCATAGATAATAAGCCCTTTTGATTTATTTGTTTAGTCTAGTCCGTAATTAATTGCCAATTGCATTCCAGCCCTTAGACAATTCATCCCTTGGAGTACATGGGAAATCCTATCATTTTTTTCAAAGGCTGTCGTCTCTATCTAATACTTCCCAATACGCAGACCAAGAGATTTTCCTACCAATACGCTTTGTATAGGAAATAGACGGTTGAAGTCAGCAAACATCCCCTTTTCCCACATACACGTTGCGTCGTACGGGCGTAGAGTGTTTCTCAATCACCGAAACAGGTCACCAGATAATCATTTAAAGCCGGCGACTAAAGCAGTCCAAGAGAATAGAAAACCAGTTAATGACTGGTGGCGGGAAACCGGTCTGACTGTCTTGCTCCTAAGGCAACGAGAGTTCAGCTCTACTCCGGCTTTTCATCCCTAACAGACCTCAAAAATGACCTGCAACCATAATAAAGAGACTGTTACTATTTAAAACACCTAGAGATCTTTTTCTTTTTTTTTTTTTTATTATATCTTTCTGTATCGTTCCTTAGCAACTAGATTAATTTTTAAAACTTTGAATTACTCGAGCAAACAAGAACCATTTCCTTGGGAATAAGATGATATAGGATRGTGACATTACCATATATTTCGCCARCTTTAAAATTATCGTACGAATTATGGGCTAACTCATTAAARACTGTCACCAAACTCTACTCTAGAAATATCATTTAGCAACAACAGTCTTAATTGATTTTTCGTCATRTTAGTCGCGTTAGTCTTTTGAATTATTTCCTTTTGTGTTTGCTTAATGAACATCGTAGAGTGTAAGGGTTCCCAAGTTTCAAGGGTTGCCTCGAAGATCGAACGAGGAGTTTTACTAAGCTGGAACTAAAACATGTGCTGCCCACGAACCAAGAGGTCGTCCAGCAGAGTTCAAGTAATTGTCTGTTATCTAAACACATGTATGCTCCGTCCAAAAGGGGTACGATTTTCACGTTTTCAGGCCTGAGGTAAAGAAAAGTGTTGGGGATTTGTAAGTTTTGATTTAGAAAAAGTAGGGTTTCAAGATGCCACTATAAACGGGGAAGCTAAAATTACTATTCAAGGCAATGTAGTCGAAATTGCTACTTGTACTCTTTAGCTTTAAACACCCTTTAAACGAAGCACGACTGGAGAGAAGGAATAAAGTGTAACGATATCTGATTCCTGGAAGTAACGGGAAAAGCCCACGTAAAATAGACTTTACTAGTTTATATAAGATCTTTTTCCTTCGTAAACCATTCRAAAACAATTATTAAAAGTAAATCATTCCTCGTCTAACATTTGCTCTCTGGTTTGAAACGAGTAAATCTAGACTTCAAAAATTAATTTATATTCACCAGAATATTACCATGTACGCTGAGGATGGGCCCGAGTACGTTTAACCTGTTTAAACAGGTTTTGAACCTGCAATGAAAATACGGGAGATTTTTATTATGGAATGTGAATACACTGCAAAAAGCAGAGAAAACTGACCCTAGAATTTAGTATCAGGTTTACCGCTGACTACACAGTAGGGATCAGGCCCAGAAACACTCAGACTAGTATGAATGAAATTCAATATGGCGACTCTTCCAGCAACAACTTCGTTATGACACGATGAAATCACCTCTTCTAAGCCGTAATTTCTTCACAGAAGCTAGTGGTCACTTCACTGACTCATACTGAGTTCAGTTCGATGTCTAGTATGCACTAGGATAGACTTTGTCGAAGGGATCCAAGACTTTTACAACTAAAATAGAAGAGAAAGAGAAAACGCGACTGAGGATTTTAAGCTTGTTTTTTGAATTAGATTCTTCTTGGTACGAATTGGAAAACTTTTACTTAGAACGTGACAAATTAAGTAATAAAAATCTCACTGTTGAATAAAGTTATTTTAAGCATTCCTTTACTATACATTGGCAAACGTGACGGATCATTAGTTCACAAATTAAAACCCCACTAAATCYTGTCCAGCTAAAAATACTTAGTATATAAAATAAGCCATAAAGCCTCTTGAGCAGTCTAATTTCGTATTATTCAATTAAGGTATTAGGATACGTTTACGACCACTATGCGCGCAAACTTAAATAACGCGCTGGCTTTATAGTGTAACACAAACAAAGTATACATTTTCTGAAAGCTGAGTAAATATAGTTTAT